CCAAAATTTATCCCTATTGTTATAATGTACTTTAGTAAACATGAATACAAATAGCATTATGCATTTGTAATCTTATGTGATGTCTGTGGCATATGTGATAGCTCTAAATTTAAAGCACCAAAGTTTTGTGTCCTTAGTTGGAAATCTGAGTCTTTGTCTTCAAGCATGGTCCGATGGAAATTTTAGTAGTGATGTTTGCTTTTTCATCACTGATTCAGATGAGTGCCATGTGCAAATGACTAAATGTGAAATTGGTATTTATTTTATGTGCAGAACGCAAGAAAACTGTTTTGTCATATCTAATCCATTCTTATGTCTAATGCGTGTGTTGTAATCTACATATTTTTCTACACTTATTTTTTAATTTTTGCATAAAAAAGGTGTGACTCTGCTTTCCCTGAAAAAATAGAAGAATTCATTACTCTTTTGAAGTACTTGTATGTATGCATTGGACAGTAATACTTTCTTAATATGCTATGATTACGATGATGTATCTATTGTGCTTTTTAAATAGCTGTAGTGGATTGAACCACCTATGATGTTAAACTATGTTGCTGTTGACTTTAATTTTTTTTTTTAATTACAAGGTCGAAAACTGCATAACGCACAGCCATCATCTTTCAAGTGACAAACAACCTTCTGATCCCGAAGAACCTTTGAAAAGGTACTGTAACTATAATGGATTTATTCCAAAGCCATATTAATTGTAGCATTTTGATATTTATTCTGTATAATGGTTTTATTTTATTGAAATGAATGCAAAGTTGTTTGTTTAGTCATGTTAAATTACTTTCATGTTGGCAAAAAATATTATAGAAGTAATAAAAAGTTACTTCTTGGGCAGTAAAACACTGTCGCATTAGATTATATTAAAGATTTTTATTGTGGCATTAGATTAGATTACTCTTTACTGCCGTAGATTACTTCTTGGGCAGTAAAACACTTACCCTAACCTAAGACTAGACCTAAACACATATCCAAAGAGTAAGTTTAACCCTAAGATCAGAAATTATATTTGTATTCATGAACTTAAGAATATTGCAGTAGTGGTAAAATTAAAATGAGTACGAATTTGCTGAAATTGAGCATATTCTAACGAAGCTATCATCATTTTTCAGAGGTAATGGATAAGACATGGATTATGAAACCACGAAATACGATTGAATATGAACAAGGAGTTAGGGTATTCATTGATTTTGCTCTTTCTCATAGTTCTGTTGAGGGTTTGATATTATGCCCTTGCTCTCCTTGTGGTTTTAGAAAGTGGCACGAAAAGGACGTGGTTTTTGACCATTTACTTTGCACAAAATTCCCTGAAGGATACAATTTTTGGTATTTCCACGGCGAGACAGAGATTGCAGAAAGCAGTAATGTTGATCCAAATGTACAACATGCTGCCCAAGATCGCACTGTTCATGAAGATCCAATTCGAACCATGTTAAATGATGCTTTTGGGGTGGATGGGAACCATGAGGCTTTAAATGTTGGAGAAGATGGAAATCCAACCCATAATCCACATGAAGAAGGGTTTGAAGCGAAAGAATTTTATGAATTGGCAAAAGATGGAGAGCAACCATTGTACGAAGGGTGTAAGAAGTATTCAAAGTTATCCTTTATTGTGAAGTTGTATCATATCAAATGTTTGTGTGGGATGAGTGACAAGGCAATGACTCTGATATTGGAACTACTACACGATGCCTTTGAACAAGCAAAAATTCCAACTTCGTTTTATGAGGCAAAGAAGACAATTACCAAGTTAGGTTTGGATTATCAGAAAATACATGCTTGTCGAAATAATTGTATGCTATATTGGGGAGTGGAGGATGAAAATAAACAAATTTGCAAGGTATGTTACACATCTAGATGGAAACCACGCACTAAAGGAGGTGAAGTTAGTGATGGAAATAGTAAGCGTAATGTGCCTGCGAAAGTAGTTCATTACTTTCCACTAAAACCGCGCCTACAAAGGTTGTTTTTGTCGTCAAAGACTGCAGAAGACATGAAATGGCATGCTATGGATGGTGATCATGATGGAAAGATGAGGCATCCTAGAGATTCTGAAGCTTGGAAGAAATTTGATTCACTGCACACATCATTTGCATCAGACGCACGTAATGTTCGGCTTGGTTTGGCTACTGATGGCTTTAATCCATTTGGTAATATGAGTTCTAGTTACAGCATTTGGCCTGTTGTTTTAATTCCGTACAATACACCTCCATGGTTGTGTATGAAGTCAACATCATTTATTATTTCAACTATAATCCCTGGTAAACGAGCACCAGGAAATGATATTGATGTGTACTTACAACCCTTGATGAAAGAGCTGCAAGAATTATGGCTTGACGGTGTAGATACTTATGATGCTTCGGCAAGAGAGATGTTCAAATTACATGCAGCTTTATTATGGACCATTAGTGATTTTCCCGGATTAGGTAATCTGTCCGGGTGGAACACTTACACTGGGTTAGCTTGTCCATCATGTAACTTTGATTTTGAAACTTGTCGTCTTCATCATAGTAAAAAATGGTGTTTTATGGGTCATCGACGCTTTCTTCATCAAAGACACAGATTTAGATTGAACAAGGTGCGATTTAATGGAAAGCAAGATATGCGTAATCCTCCAACATTGTTGTCTGGTTGTGAGATTCTTGAACAAGTTCAAAATTTGCATGTTACATTTGGTCGAACACCTGAAGTAAATGGTAGAGGGAAAAGAGCACGTGTTAGTGATCGTGGTGCACATGGGAACACTATGCAGTGGAAGAAGAAAAGCATATTTTTTGAGCTTCCATACTGGAGGCATAATTTATTGCGTCACAATCTTGACCTGATGCACATTGAGAAGAATGTATGTGACAACATCATATTCACATTGCTTAATGATGCAAATAAATCAAAAGATCACATGAATGCTAGAAAAGACTTGCAAAGAATGGGTTGTAAGCATGACCTTTGGCCATTTGAAAATGGAAAGTATCCTTTAGCAGTGTACACAATGACTAATCAAGGCAAGAAGGCTTTCCTAAAGACCTTAAGGAATATCACTGTACCGGATGGTTATGCTAGCAACATTTCTAGGTGCATAGATGTTGATTCTATGAGGCTGAGTGGGATGTTGAAAAGTCACGATTGTCATATATTGATGGAGCAACTACTACCGTTGGCCACACGAATCTCATTGCCTGATAATGTATCAAGTATTTTAATTGAGTTGTGCTCATTCTTCAAGCAGCTATGCGATAAGGTATTGACTGTTTCAAATTTGGATAATTTACAGCGTCAAGTTGTGCTAACTCTATGCCACATGGAAATGTTATTTCCCCCGTCTTTTTTCACTGTCATGGTTCATTTGGTTGTTCATCTTGTTGAGGAAGCTAAGCTTGGAGGTCCGGTTCACTACCGTTGGATGTATCCTATTGAGAGGTACTTGGGACAATTGAAATCATATGTTCGTAATAGAGCACAACCAGAAGGGTCTATAGCCCAAGGTTACCTAATACAAGAAATCTTAACATTTTGTTCAAGGTACCTCGATAATATTGAGACTATGTGGAATCGACCCAGACGTGTTGATGATGTTCCTGATGATATCTTCCCAAAATCACGCGTAGATGAATTGTTTCCCAATGTAGGAAAGCCAATTGGTGCATCGACTTATTTTAATCTTACATCCATGGAATGGTTACAGGCTCATAGACACGTGCTAACAAACTGCCCACTTGTTGAAAGCTATGTCCAGTAAGTACTGCCAATTTTTTTTTAGTGCGTAAGTGACTATATTGTTTTTTGAATGTCTTTATTTTGATTAGGGAATTCAGGACCGACTTGAAGAGACAACTAAGGAGGAGTAATCGAAGTCAGGCTGAGATAGATAGGAGGGTTCATAGAGAGTTTGTCGAATGGTTCTCTAAACGCGTGAGTAATTTATCACATAGTGCAGATGATGAAGTGTTAGGCATATTTTTTGAAAAGTTTAAATGTAGTTGACTAACACTAGTTAGTTAACCATTGTAGGTTGTCATTGATATGGATAATATTGGGGAATCAGAGAAAGCCATTATGTTTTCCTTTGCGAAAGGTCCATTTTATCAAGCTAGAAGGTTCAATGCATATAATGTTAATGGCACCAAGTATCGTACCTTGGAACGCGAGAAGAACCTAAAAACCCAAAATAGTGGAGTTTATGGAACGTTTGACACTAGAAGTTATTCAAGTAGTAAAGATGGCCAAATGATATGTGGAGGGGTTCCTTACTATGGCAAATTGATTGACATCATTGAGATTAATTACAATGGATTATTCACAGTGGCTTTGTTTAAATGTCAATGGGCTGATACCACTACTCAAAGAGGGTTAAAAAAGGATAAATTGGGTTTTACTCAAGTGAACTTTTCTAAATTGATACATACTGGTGAGAAAGAAGATGATGAGCCATATATTAAAGCTTCTGAAGCTCAAATGGTTTTTTATGTTGATGATGAGAAAGAAACTGGTTGGAGTATACCTGTTAATGTGAAGCCTAGAGACTTATATGATATGGGTGAACATATTATGACATGCACCGACCAATTTCCACCACAAAACTTGGACCAAATTTTAGTTGATGACACAATACCTCTACAGTTATCTAGACCTGCCATAGATGATGATGTTCCAAATTTGATTCCTAATCAAAATGAGGAAGAAGAAATGGATATATGACCTAATCTCCAAATATGATTATGTCCATAATTTCAATTATTGTATTGCATTATTTATGTATGGTGTATTCTGTTTTGTATTTCATTTTTTGTATGTCCATAATATGGGTGAACATATTATTTTTGTATGTCCATGGCATAGGTGAAAACATTATTGTATTATGTTTTTTTTATTTGGTATTGTGAAGTTAATTATTAATGTGTAAGTTCTGTTGTATTTGATATATTATTATTGCTTAAGACTTATAATTGCACATAAATTGTATTCTGTGATTGCACACAATTTGTATTTACAGGATAATGGCACGCACCAAAAGATTCATTGCTAGGAGCCAATCCACAAGCTCTACTGCTCATGCACTTGAAGATCATATTGGGCAACCAAGTATTAACCATGGATACAATTCAAACCCAATCGGTACTAGTCAAGGAATAGATACTCAGCCACATGAATTGGCAGTCCAACAAGAACAAATTTCAAGCCAATCTCCACAAGGTTGTGGTCCATCTCAGCCATCCAATGAAAGACCACCAACAAACCCTCCGAAGAGAACATGCAACAAATATTGGGTTGTTGATGTCGTAGCTGATAATGGTTTATTTGATGAGGAACGATTGCGGGTAAGGGATGTTTTGGTACTTCCACGTCACAAGAGAGTTGTGTTGGAATGGAATGAAGACAAACAACCTGTTGGAGATTCGTGTGGACTTCTCCATGGTTTTTTGGGACATATTGCATGTGATCCCAAAATATTCCCCATATGTTTTGATAGGTGGCCTAATGTACCTCCGGTGTATAAGGAAAATACTTGGAAGAGCACTATTAAGGTATAAATGATCATTAAATTTCCTAAGATATACAATGATTATTTTTTTCCAGAAATAATGTCGTTGTATAATTTTTTTTTTATTCAGCCAAAATTTGTACTGGAGAGTGAATACCATTACAACTATTGTATGCAAAATATGGGAAAGAAATGGAAGGATAACAGGTATAGGATTTGCCATGAATTTTACAAGAAGGACAAGACGTATAAGCAAAACATTGAGAACTATCCTCAAGGCATCACAAGAGAGAATTGGGCTGGGTTTTTGCAATATAGATTAAGTGAGAAAGGGAAGGTAATATGAGGAGTCATACATATATTGTTGCATTATTTTTTATTTGACCTAAATATTTAAATTATTTGGACAATGCAGAGATACAGCGCAATAAATACTGCAAATAGAAAAAAACAAAAAATCCCACATACACTTGGATCAAAAACCATAGCAAGGCTGAAGAGGGAGCTGGTATGGTCTTTTGCCAATTTTTTATATGACTCTAATATTCTTTTAATATATAACTCATTCACATTTTTGTCATTACTGCAGGAAATACGAGATGGCAAAAAATATAGTAGGGGTGAAATGTATCCTATTGCTCACACAAAAAGGGATGGAAATTTTGTTAATGAAGAAGCTATGCTGAAAAATGTATGAAATTCTTGTATGCTGTTTTAAACATCATTTATATTATCTTTATATTATAAATGTAAACTATATATCATGTTTATATGTAGGATCAATTATTAACACAAATGCAAGAAGGATTGTCTGATGAAGAGGCATATGTACACGTTTTTGGGAAGGAACACCCAGGCCGTGTTAGAGGTATGGGATTTGGGGTGGTTCCATCGCAGTACCGTAGATCGTCTAACAGTTCGGGATCGTCTTCTTCTACTGTTCCAACGCCAGCTGAATACAACGCCCTCAAAGAAGAATTGGGAAGTATAAAAGGCAAGATGGTAGAATATGACATGATGAAAGAGCAAATGGCATTATTTATGCAAAGTTTAGGAGCTCAAATACCATCTAATTTTTCATTTAATCAGGTAAATGTTGCATTTTGTTTTGCTAAATAATTACTGGGTATTTTGTTTGGATGAAGATACATTGTGGTATTTTTGTTTTTTGAAATCTTTTTCTTTTTTGCCCTCTAGTGTAAGGACATTTTGAAATTGCTGAATATTGAAGAATGTCTAGTTAAATAGGGGTTGAGGACTCTGGGAGAGATGAGGTGTGGTTTTTGCAATAGTTAAATACGTGTACAATTTAATTTGGTGGAGTGATTGTTAAATCATTTTGATTCTCTTTAGAGTGCTGCCTCAGTTTTAAATTATTTGTTAACTGTATGAATGCATATGGATTCATAAATAATGTGGAGAATTAAAGACTGGTTGTTGTTGTCCAACATTTATATATTAGCTTATTGTCATAGTGATATGATGGTGGTGGCTGTCTTAAATTATGAATGAGTGTTAGTAACTAAATTATTTTATCAGTTGCATTGAATTGTGTGACTGAGTTCATCAATCAGCCTTAAAGTAAAAGTGAATCTAGTTTGGTAATTGAAATATTATTTTTTTTATATCGTTGCATCTGCATAATATGTGAAACTTGTAAACTTGGCTATGGCTAATATATGCTTCTTTTTTCCATTGCATTAGACTCCAGACTTGGGATCTCCGGGAGTTAGAAGATCCTCTAATGGTAGTCATGACCCACATTGTGAAGAACCAAATTCATCACCTCTACCACCAGCACCAGAATCTTAAATTTTATATTAGGATATCTATTTTGATGGAAATCCATATATGCACACTTTTTGTTTCCTACATATGAATGTAGTGTAGATGACATTGTGCATGGATTTCTTGCTTGAATGGTTGTAATTTTCTCGATTTTAAACTCCTATGATATCTCTAGATTGTTGTTTCCTGGATATTAAGTAGATGACATTGTGCATGGAATTTTTTTCAATGGATGGTTGTTAATTTTCTATAACTGTTGACCATTTCTAGTTAAGTCTCTATGGTTATGGATGTAAAATTTAAATATGCACTTTTAGCTAAAAGGTATGTATATTTACCTTTTCATACTCCTTTTTTTAATTTTAATTAATTTTTTATTGGACATTGTAATAAAAATGACGTAAATTTATTTTTATTGAAAATGATTTTACATACCAAATAAAATAGTACTTTTTTATAAACAAAATTGTAAATAATTCTAAATAAATATTTTTTTCTAACAAAAACCTGCCAAAATTACTGAAGAAAATAATTTAAAAAAAAAATCGCAAAAATAACTGCTTATTGCAATTGTCACCTTTTTACACTGCAGGCGGTTTTAGAAACCGCTTGGAAATTATTAAATCAACTTTTTCAGAACCGCCTGCCACTCCGCCTGAGATAATTCATTATAGGCGGTTTCCCAAACCGCCTTAGAAGGATTGGCCAACATATTTAAGTGATATTTTAGGCGTCTGCAGCCGTCACGTCAACCGACGAAAAGTTCTTCTGGCGGCTTGTCCAGCGGTTTGCTATAACCGTCGACGTATGACTGCGCGACTGTGTTATCTCAGTCGGTTTACTAACCGTCGGACTCAGCAAACAGAGGCGGTTTTAACCGCCTGAGTTTGTAAAATGAACCGCCTTTACATGCCTAGTTTCTTGTAGTGTATATATATGCTTGAGCTTCTGGTAGCACAACCAATGCATAAAATATTTTAATGTTATTCCCCACTAATGCCCATGATGCATGGATATCTATTAGCTTATCGTATTTCGTTGAAATTAGACATTGGGAAGCTCTAAGTTGCATGCCTATATTGGGAATACCTTGTGTCGTTAAAATTCCAAATAACTAAGCTTTTTGCCTTTTTAAAATTAACTTTCGAAAAATTAACCAAACAATTAAGTTGACTTTGCCTTGTTATTGCAACAATCTCTTAGATTGTAAGGCAACATCCAGTTGGATGAAGTGACTTTATTATTATTGTTGTTGAAGCAATCTCTAAACTTTTTGCCTTTACACAGTCTTTACTTGCACCTAGAGAATTTGGAGGCTCCTCGATTCCCAGATATAGGCGTTTTGATTATATTAGTTCAAAATATAAAAAGTTGTACTGGATTAAGTTCTTGGTCAAAGGTATTACCATACTAATGCAAAGCGACGCATTACATTCAGGTTCGTGTTTGCCTTTGATAGACGTGGCCCTTGTCCTACCGTGTTTGAGGTGTTGCAGACAATAAAGATGGCGATGTTTAAGGAGAATGACCAGATGTCAGAGAGCCAAAAACGCGACTCTGAACCAGACGCGTATACGAGAGACGTGATACTTAGAGTGTCGTTTCTATGTATTATATATATCTACCAAGCGATAAACTTTTCTCTCGTGTTTCATTATGTCCATATCTCTCTCAATTTCAATTTATATCTCTGTTTATATACCTCTCATAAATTGTATCTCAACTTGAAAAAAATTAAATCGATTTGAATTTCGGTCTCAGTATACAAAATTTGCACCACTAAGACTTCAAGCTATTTTTGCACCACCTGTGTTTCATTCTCATTCCAATTTTAAATATTTTTTATTTATTTGGTTAAATTAGGATAGTCCAAAAAAAAAATAGCATGTTATAGATTTAAAATATTAAAGGGTTTATTAAAATCTTAGGTTACTGGTCTTAAATTATATTACTATTATTATTTAGTTTTTAAAGTTTGTATATTTATATTATTAAAATCTTAGGTTATTCATTGAAATTTTATTAATGTGATATTTATATCAGTAAAACCGGACTTAAAATTTATTAATGTAACTATTTAGTTTTTATAGGTTGTATATCTAGTAATAGTAATAAAAGTTAGGACCAGTAACCTAAGATTTTAATAAACCCTTTAATAGTTTAAATATATAACATGCTATATTTTTTGGACTATCCTAAGTTAACCAAATAAATAAAAAATATTTAAAATTGGAATGAGAATGAAACACATGTGGTGCAAAAATAGCTTGAAGTCTTAGTGGTGCAAATTTTGTATACTAAGACCGAAATTCAAATTGATTTAATTTTTTTAAAGTTGGGATACAATTTATGAGAGGTATATAAACAGAGATATAAATTGAAATAGAGAGAGATATGGACTTAATGAAACACGAGAGAAAAGTTTATCGCTTGGTAGATATATATAATACATAAAAACGGCACTCTAAGTATCACGTCTCTACGCGTCTGGTTCAAAGTTGCATTTCTGGCTCTCTGACATCTGGTCATTCTCCTTAAACAGCGCCGTCTTCATTGTCTGCAACACCTCAAACACGGTATGACAAAGGCCGCGTCTATGAAAGGCAAACACGAACCTGAATGTAACGCGTCGCTTTGCATTAGTATAGTAATACCTTTGACTAAGATCTTAATCCGGTACAACTTTTTATATTTTGAATTAATATAGTCAAAACGCCCAAATGTAGTAGAGGCTAACGAATAGGTGAGTAGCCTACAAAATAATAATGATGACATTTTATAATTAGCCTTGAAGCCACTATCCTTTATTTAAAAAAAGTGGTTACATGTACTAAAATTGATTGATCATTGTGTATTACAAAAAAAATAAAATGTATTGATCACTAAGTATATTTAGTGGGACTTGAGAAACTTTAATTATATTCGATTATTGAGTTTGGTTATATTTTATCTGAAATTTTAGTTATATTCTATGTATTCGGTTCAGTTTTGCAATTCAAACGTGTGGTAGTGTATTCTATGTGGAACTCCAAGTTCAGCCGTACAAGCTTGCTTTCAATCATTGGAACCATAGAGTCTAAGGTATCTCTGAATACAACGGCCCTGCATTCTTTATTTTAATTGGTTTCTCATTGTTATTTTTGTTTGTGTCAGCAATGAATGTGTTCAGCATCATAGGCCTTATTTGCATCATGTTTGTTATGAACAAAAGGAAAGAGAGGATAAATGATTTGTCCCCCGAAGGTACATTTCATATTCAATAACTTCATAAAATAGAATTATGAGACTTATGGTGGGATTATTAAGCTTCAATCAATTTTCTTGTTTGTTGCTTTTTTACTCTGTCCAATTTAGGGGTGTTCGCGATCTGAATTGGATCGGTTTTGGAAGCAAAAAGCATTCGATCCAATTCCTTCGGTTTGATCATGTAATCATCCATTCGGTTTGAATTTTTTTTCAAATCCGATCCTATTCAATCCAAATTTTTTCGATTTAGATTGGATCGGTTTTCGATTTTTGAAAATCCTAAAATTTGTTTCATAATTATTGTGCAAATAACATCTTTTGTATATATTAGCTATATAAATTTTTTTTAATTACAAAAGCATCAGTAAACGATAATATAGTTTTTTTTGTGGGCAATGAGATATGAAGCTCTACGTAAATGAAATTTGTTGATGAGATGTGACTATATTTTTTCTTGGATTTAGTTGATGGGTTAATGAGTCTTGGGTTTAGAAATTTTTGGACTATGATTGGCGAAAGACCCAAGTAGGTAAAGGGAAATTAATATATTGGATCGGTTTGGATTGGACCAGTTTTCATCAATCAATCCGAAATTCAATTCAATTAAAATTTGCGGGTTTTTTTTCGATTTTTAGTTTTGCGGTTTTCGATTTATTCGGTTATCGATTTTTCGGTTCGGTCATCGCGGTTTGAATCGTTTGGGATCGGTTGATGAACATTCCTAGTCCAATTAGCATTTATTTAGTCCCCAATTTTAATTTTTAGGGATAAGTTATTCTACCTATCATTTTTTTCCTATCTCTGCCTACCACCCTCCAACACCATCTGATCAGAATCTCAAGAAGAGAGAGAAAAATAAATGTTAGTTAAGATTCTGATCTGATGGTGTTGGAGAGTGGTAGACAAAGATAGGCAGAGAAAATGGTAAGTAGAATAACCTATCCCAAATTTCTAATATCTATGATATGCATGTTTTGGGAAAAGGAGAAATCTTTTTAAGGAAGGGCTTTCCACACAATGTATTGCGCCAACAAAAATCATTGGAAAGGTATATAACATTCAAAATAAGAAAAAAAAAATCTTTGTGGCAGATTTTTGTATAAATTAAAGTTGTACAATTATGAGGATTATTTGTTATTACTCACTCCTATGTAAAACCTATATAAAATTAAAACTTCTATGCAATAGAATCAAAGCATTCTTCCAATTTATTACTAAATATCCAATCGATAGTATCATAATTTTATTTTATTATATACCATTTCATTTTGTTTATCATAAAGAAAAATATGTCTCTTCAGCTGCTGCAAAGACATTGTTCAGTGCAGTAGTCACGTGCTTTTTAGAATACAGAATCGTATCTTAAAAAGCATATGTTAGCTGAAGATAACATCTCTGTAGCAATAGGAAATTAATAGAAATCTATCATAAATTATCCAAAACCAAGTCATAGGCGACAAGTGATTTAGTCAATAGTAAGCTAGGTTAATTGCTGTGTTGGACTAGGACCTTAGCTATTCTTGTCTAGTTTGACTTAGTATCGTAATTGTACTCATATATGTGTGATTCTTATTTATATGATTGAATCTCTGGTGCAGTACAAACTGTACAATAATATAGTGGGACAGAAGAATAAGATTATCTAATTCTTGTTAGACTCACAGGAAGTGCATGTTCTGTACAGTATAGGAATGTGCCCTATTGTTCAAAAATATACTTGTCTGGTTAGTTTATCTTTACCCCATCATCCTACAAGCTTGATAATAATATGATAGTTGTTTGTAAGAACTTAAAAGACAAGCACATAAACTGCACAAGTAACAATCTCCTTTTAGTGCATAAAGGAGTTCCATTACGATTGTAAGTAGCTCATCTATACCACATAAAAATCTCTATCACCACCACCATTTTTGTCTTGCAAGAACATAAAACTATTTTATTGAAGAGTTTTATAATTCTCATGTAGGAAATGAAAATTATCTCCTACATACACATAAAAATGTATGAGACCTATGTTTTCTCTTTATCTCTCTTCTCATCACATGGACCCACAAACTTATATGTATACGTAACAAATAAAATTATATAATGTAACATGAGAAACATTAAATTCTTTATATAAATATGCAAAAAAAAAAAAAAATGTAAGTTCGTAACTTAGAAATTAGGACAAAGTCCTAATACCTCTCTATCATTCGCAAAAACAAAAACAAAAACAACGTGCACCAGTTCTGAATGAAGCATCAGGAAACTCAAGACCGTCCCAACTTCCAAGTGCATCTCTGAAGCAATTAAAGGCATAGTAGGAATGAAGACTTGTTTTTCCAAATCAAATCCCCAATCCAAATAAGTGATTTGGTTTAACAAGGTCATACAAGAGTAAAAGAAACACAAGTCACCTATTTGCTGCAGAAAAGTTTCACCAGTAAGACAATAACCACAAATCAAAAGTCTCAATGCAGTTACATATTGAAATGCCCGTTTCCTAGCTCTGCCATAGTTGATATCTTCGCCTTACACGAGTTAACAAACAAATTCAGCAATCCTCCGTACTGATTTTACCTTTTATCATAGGATGCTTAAAATTTACATACATTAACCTTGACATTTTCAAATAATTTTTTCTAAACAAAAATAAGTTTGGCTCAGTTCATTATGTTAAGAACCTTGAGGTCACCACCCCAAAAGCTAGCTCAAAGGGTGGGAGTACCCAAGACCTGGCCACATTAGTTGCACATACAACCAATGTGGGACTATATATCTCAACACGTCCCCTCACACGAGTGCCCTTTAGGCTAGAAGCGTGGAAATTGCACATGCCCATTTTTGGTTTACCTTTTTGTGCCTTTTTTTATTTTTAATTCCACTTTAAAGCGGGAGGCGGTGAGGATCGAACTTGTGACCTTGTAGTCAAGGGAGCTCTGATACCATGTAAAGAACCTTGGGATATACCACTCTAAAAGCTAGCTCAAAGGGTGGGAGTGCCCAAGGCCTTATAAAGGCCACATTAGTTGCACATACAACCAATGTGGGACTATATATCTCAACACATTACATGAGAAACGTTAAATTTCCAACACTACTAAATAGGGGCGTTCATCAACCGATCCAAACCGATTCAAACCGCGAAAACCGAACCGAATAAACCGAAAACCGAAAAAAAACCGCAAATTTTAATTGGATTGGATCGGTTTTCGGATGAGTTGATGAAAATCGATCCAATATATTAATTCTCCTTTACCTACTTGGTCCTTTCCTCAATCATAGTCCAAAAATTTCTAAACTCAAGACCCATTAATTCATCAACTAAACCCAAGAAAAAACTTAGTCGCGTCTCATCAACTATAATATTGTTTACTGATATTTTTTGTATTTCAATTTTTTGTAATTAGCTCTGATACCATGTAAAGAACCAATTCAACCCAAAAGCTTAAGCTTTTGGGTGAGGCTACATTAATGGTTTTATATATCTCAACATTTACAAATCCAATATATACAAAAGATGTTATTTGCACAATAATCATGAAACAAATTTTAGGATATTTGAAAACCGAAAACCGATCCAATCCAAACCGAAAAAAATTGGATCGGATTTGAAAAAAAATCTAAACCGGATGGATGATTACATGATCAAACCGAAGGGATTGGATCGGATGAGTTTTGCTTCCAAAACTGATCCAATCCAGACCGCGAACACACCTACTACTAAATAATGGTAATGTTTAAACACAAATGAAGCTGTGGCATTTTGCTGAGCAATCAGCCACAACCTATTATTTTCATAATAAGCATATTACATATTGGCATTAATTAAACAAGTGCAGCAGAGCATAGAGGGATAAGTGCTTTCTTAATTCTCTCTACAGCAGCCTCTAAGGTAGTAAGGGATTCTGCATAAGAGATGCGAATGCAAGTATCTTCTCCAAATGCACTCCCCGGCACCAAGGCAACCTGTAAGTCAAAACAACAAAACACAATTTATGACTTACTAAGACCAAAAAGAAGTTTTATGACTACCATTTACCTCAGCTTTCCCCACTCCCCACTCCCTCTCTTTGAACTTTACATACATCATTAGATGATGATGTTCAACACTTTAGAAAAGCACTATGGATGAAGCATTCCAGAGAGATTTCATTCTTTTAGTTGTCATATTTTTTTTATAAAAAAAATCACTCCATATGGTGCCTGACTTCTCAGTCACAAAGAAAGCCATTAAATGAGTATACCTGGCCCTTGTCCAGCAGGTATCGACAGAGGGAATCAGAATTCTCAATTATACCGAACCCTTCTGCTTCTCTTCCATAATATGAGCTGAAATCAATGAACAAATAAAATGCTCCCTGAAAGTGAAAGGAATAGTATATTTATTTTTTCTGAGTAACATTAGCATACAGGAAAAGGAAGACACAAAACATAAGAGTACATAGCTGTCACGCAACAGGCTAATAAAAACAGTTGAGTTTGCACCTGGGGTTCTGATATTTTCACACCATCCATTTCTCCAAAACTCTTAACCAAGAAATCCCTTCGCTCCCTGAATGCATTCACCATGGTAGAAACAACCTCCCCACCTGCATAGCCTAGTCCTAATGCAGCAACAGCAGCTTTCTGAGATATACTACTTGCCCCTGAAGTGAACTGTATTCAGTAAGATGTGTCAGAAAGTATACTTTGCTTGTAAAGTAAATAGCAACACTAGTCCAACCCAAACCAACTGAATGATGGGAATTTTCTTATAAGTTTCTTCTCAAATTGCCAACTCTGGTAAACCTAAGCATCTATTAGATGTCTTGGAGGAAAAGGAAAGTTTGATGTTGAGTTGTTCATTGTTGAAAAAAAGTGGCAATTAAAAATACTACATACTTGACTCTGAATCTTTCCACATGCTGTAACAATATGTTTTGGACCAGCAACATACCCAAGCCGCCAACCAGTCATTGCAAATGCCTACAAGAACACAGCTTAAAAGCATCATAATCCAATCCCCATGCTCTATGCATTGCCATAATTTACAAACACACTAAGAAATACAGAATTTGCATTGAGTAGGAAACAAAAACTGGGGATCAACAGCAAACACCAAAAAACTTGTAGTAATTAGAAGTCACCCCCTATTAGGAAGAGAACATATCATTAAAGACTAACCTTAGAAAATCCATTCACAGTTAGTGTTCTGTCCCGCATGCCAGGTAAAGATGCAATGCTTGTATGAGTTGCTGGTGCATAAATTATGTGTTCATAAATTTCATCAGAGAGAACCTGTATAAAACAGCCATAGAGATATTGAAAGGAATTATCATTTAGGAGAACACATTCAACCGTCATGGATTTATGTCTGTACCAGAAGCCTGGGGTGCTTAGCTACAATTTGGGCTATCTCTTCAAGTAATTCCTTAGGGTAGACAGATCCTGTAGGGTTAGAGGGTGAACAAAGAATAAGTAGTCTTGATCTTTCAGTAAGGTTGGATTCAAGAAATTTGGGATCCAGGAGAAAGTTATCAGATATGTATGTTGGAAGAATCACAGGTGTTGCATCAGCCAGTCTTGCCATCTCTGGGTAACTCACATAGAATGGAGCTGGAATAATGACCTGAAACATTCACAGCACAAGCTAAATGAAAACCACCACAGCTTGCAAAAGAAAAAATAACATCTATTAATAAGTTTTCTAAAATCACATAAGATGCAATTTTATAAATGGAAACATGTGCTCAGCATGAGAGTGATTTTTATTTGCTTGACCCCAACCACCTGATGATAATCAAATTAATCAAGTAAAATAGAGAAACAAAACACGGAGCAATTGCTTTAAAATAGGCATGCCAATAAGTTCACACAGATTGCATAATGATATTACAAGCCTGTAAACACATACAAGAAGAAGGCATCAAAAGGATAGCACTACTGAAGCAGCATATACTATTGAACTCAATTTTTTACTCCTAATCAGCACAAATTTTGAATGCATTGAAAATTTTGTTCAGATATTATATACCTCATCTCCTGGGGAACAAACTGCAAGAACTGCCTGTACAACACTCTGCTTTGCTCCATTACTGACCACAATCTGATCAGGAGTATATGTAATTCCATTCTCCTCTGTAACAACAGTTGTGGCATATTATCAAACTCCTCATCTCACACAATAAATAAGATCCAAAATTCTAAAAGTGAAGCATTTCAAGTAACCCTTTAGCTTATGACAAATTGCTTGGCGCAGTTCTAATGTTCCAGCATTGGGGGTGTATCTCGTGTAACCTTCACGAATTGCATTCATCCCAGCCTACCATGCCCATAAATGTCATGACATGATTACTACACACCCAAAAAGAAGAACAAAACATTTTTATATATAATTTAGAAAACAAATTGAAATTTACCTCAGCTATAACAGCTGGTGTATCAAAATCAGGTTCTCCAGCAGCTAAGCGAATAACGGGAACTCCAGCTTGTAAAAGAGCAGTGGCTTGGTCACTAATGGCTACAGTCTTCGATGGTTTCAAAGCATTGACTCTCGGGCTCAAAGAAATATCAACATCTGTGTCATCAAAGTTGCTCTTTGCCTTTACCACAACAATTGTTTTATTCAGCACAACATGTTTTCCTTTATGCAGTGCTCTATAAAGGCAAGACAAGAAAAAATGTTAGCAACAAGTGAAACAGCATGCAAAGGAACGTGAGAAGGAACTAACCTGAGAGGAAGAGTGGACACGAATGGAAAAACGGAATGGACACTGGGGCATTGGTTTCCAAACGTGATTCTGGAGATGGTAATGCTATGTAGTGTGTTGGCCATGGAAATAACTACTTAGTTGGATTGATGTATGAGAAAGAAGCAAAGCAACGGTCATACATCAAGTAAAGAAGGAAAGTGTGTTATTAATAGTAAGAAGAGGAAGATGCCAAGATGGAGTTGGTGGGAGAGAGTTGGTGCATGCATGCGTAGGAAAGGAAGCAAAGCTAAGATGAACTTTTCTTCTCCTTCAAGTCTTCATCTGCAAACATAAACAATTGCTCCCCTGCTGCACTTAGAAAAATGTTTGAATAGTTTGTGTTATTTGACACCAAGGTTTGAATAGGTAGTGTTATTTGTTACTTTTTGTGTGTGCAAATAATGACTTTTTTAGGAACATTGTGTAATAATCAATTTTCTATAACTTACCCTTTCATCACGTAGCCTTTCTTTAATCCCCGTCGTCCATTTAATTTGATATTTATCTAACGGTTCCTAATGCATGTTCTCCCGGTAGACTTGTATAAGCTGGTCAATCTTATGCAATGCTTTAGTTGGTAGAGCTTGTTTCCTTGTTTGTGTTGGTCTACAACATCTATGATATTGTATAAAATACAGACCATGTTTGGTGAGAAAATACACGTGTAATGTAATTGTATTTCTCACTTATTTTTCCTCTAAGATTTTAACCTCCCTCAATCTCCAATCAGCTTACACTAACTTTTTTTTTTTTTTAATTTCTTTTGACAGTGTACTGATTAAAAAGATTTTTTACACATTCCATTGAGAGTTATTAACATCAAAAGGAGTACGCTTGCATGTTTGACAACACATCTAAACAAGATTTCTGTATCAGGAACAAACCCAAACAATGGGAACCATACATCCCTGACAGACAAAGGACCAGACGGGAGATTTCAACCCAGAATGCCATGCACTGAAGACTGAGCTCGAGACTGATCTTGCTTTTCAATTTTGCATGGAAAGAGGCGAAATCCTTCAACTCCTTCAAACAAAACCGCAAGAAAGAAACCAAAAAGCTAACACGTTGATGTCACCCAAGATACTGCTGATCTCCAAGTGAGGGCAGTGTTAATATTATTGAAATCTTCAAAACTCAAACCACCATCCTTTTTGCTAGTTCACAATCACTCCCAACTTTTCCAATGGATACCCCTTCCTTTCCCTGCCCTTTTGCTGGTTCACAAGCACTCCCATCTTTGAAGCTTCAGTCCAGGATTAACAACAAAGAATATTAATTTTAAACCGTTAAGGAGGTAGACTTGGTGTACCCAGAATGCACTACTATGTCATAATTTTCTTCAAAGATGAAGACTTGGGTGGTCCAGCATCTTAGATTCAGTAGATGACCCATGACATTCCAGGTCCCCCAGTAGAATCATCTTACCTGCCTGTTTATCTTTGAGGGTAAACATGAAACCACTAGTAGTAGTACCCATATCAGAGTTCTTCATATCTTTTGGATTATTGCAAGCCTTAGTGATACTGATAATACACTTAACAGCATTTCTATTGAGAGGCTTAGCTGTTAAGATCCTCCCAACAAGAGTTCTCCCAGCCAAAACCAAGCTACTCTCAACCTCCAATTCCAGTTGGAGGGTAGCCCTTTCCAGCTTGCAATCCAACCTACTTCTCTGCTCATCACCCTCTTCACTCCCAGCCATTACTTCTAATCCAGTACACCCCACTCCAGAGATGGTTCTTGCTGATCCCTGGAGGTAGACTCAAAAAAAGACTTCTTAAGGGCTAGAACTGAACCAAGGGGAAGGTTGAAGATAATAAGAGCAACACAAACTGAGATCTACACAGCAACAGCATCCTCCCAAGGAAGAAGAGGAACTCATACAAACTGAGAGAGAACTCCTACCAAGAGGGAAATAGATGATAATCTTTTTGCTCATCTTTTTTCCTTTTGAAACATCCAAACAGTATTTTCCATTTCTCTTTATTATTAACCACTCTCTTCCACTCCACCCAAATCCAATTCTTCAAGACATATATAGCCTTAGGAAAAAGAAAAGGAATGCTAGAAAAATTAAACAAAAAAAAAGAAAAAGAAATTGGGAATTTGGAGTTAAAAGAGAAGACAAAAAAAATTGCTGCTCCGTATGGTGAAAGAAAAATGTTAATTGCATAATAATTTGGTATTACATTTTTATCTCATTTTATACCTGAGGTAATAACGTTGAGGAAGTAAAAGCAATAAGCATATATCCATTTGCAGTAGAGTAGAACGGGATAAAGCAACTAAAATAGTAAGATCTAGTTTTTGCGGCAGAATAATGTCATAACGAAACCAACCCTAAAATAATACAATTTCCATTTATGAATGTAATGCAAGAGTTTTAGTTATAATCATTAGCCTATAAAAACTGGTTATTCTCGTTAATTACAGAATTTAGACGCTATCAGATTTTGAAAGCTTACGGACGAACAAGATGTGCACCAAACACACCTAATTCTTTTATCCATCAATGTACTTCTCTCTAGGCATCATACCCGATATCTGATAGAAAAAAGTTTGAATAATTTCTAGGTAGTAGGTGCTGTGCTTAAAGCACCCACTAAAGTCGCAAACACATTACAACCCCACAAATTCTGCATATAACTCAGTACAGCATGTTCCAACTTTCAAGTAGAACGGTATGGAAAGAAGTATGAACATTTTTATTTCAAAGTCACATAGATAGGCGAAAGTAGTGACTGAATGGGCAAAGAACTAAATTATGCATGTAAAATATGAAAAAGTAACATCCTGTTAATAAAACAAATTCGTCATACATTTGAAGAATGCTAGTTGCAGGGGGGAAATGGAAATGGGTGATGAAAAAGAAAGAAAAGAAACTAGCCTCATGTACGAGTACAGGTTGCATCAAAGTCATCAGGTGCAACACGAGCAATCCAACTACTAAGCGTTCTCTTAATATCAGAGTGATTAACATACGCCAATTCGTACATACTACACAAATTGACAACAAGAGTTTCATTGAGAGCCACGGTAGGAACCCTTTCAAGCGCATTTTCCAACACCTTGATAGAATCAGACAAGTCCCTTAGATACATCAAACACAAAGCCTTGTTGTTAACAGCCACTACATCCGAATTATCCCTCTCAATGCACTCTTCATACTCCCTCACTGCAGATACATAATCCTTCCCAACCATATACACCAATGCCTTATTTCGATTCACAAGATTCTTAACCTCAACCTCGCTCAACGACCCATTACTCTTCCCTTCCCCCTCGATTTTAAAAAAAGAAACTTTCGCACCCTCCAAGTCACCAATTTGCAATTGGATATACCCAAGTTGAGAAATCAACAAAGGATCGGAAGAATAAGCATCACGAGAAAGCAAGTTCTTCATCAAGCTCAAACACACACCAAACTCTTTCTGACTCAAATGGTGCCCTATTATACAGTTCACAACAAAAACCTCTCTTTTCCTCCACACATCAAGAGAAACACCGAGATTGTTCATTTCCTTCTCCTTCAGCTTCTCGCGCACGAAATCGAGGAGATGGTACAACCGATCCATCCCTTGCTGGCGTTGCCCCAATTTGATTGGAATTAGGGCATGGAGCCATCGGAGAGAGAAAGGGACCATGGATCCGACCCGATTCGAGTATATTTTCGGGTAGGTTTCGTACCTGTAGTGAGAGCTATCGAGGTCTTCAACGGAATCGAGCTCAGCGGAAGCTTCGTTGAAACGACGCAGTTTTGTGAAGGCGAGGACGTTGAAGGCGAGGTAGGTGAGGTGATCGTGAGGCTTCTGAAGGAGAGAGAGAGCTCTGGCGCGTGAGACCTTGTCGATGATGGAGCGCCACGCGCCGCGGGTGGCTAGGTCTTGGAGGGAATTCAGGTCGTGGCACAGGTTGTCGAACGGGTTCGAGAGTGGGTCCGTTTGTGAATCGGGTATGGTAGACTCCGAGTCCATCACTCGGCCGGTGAACGGAACGTCGCCGTTAGTGGGAGAAAGAGATTGCCGGAGCCGGAGGAGTTAAACGGATCTGACCGGAATCACAAAAAAATAGCGTTGGGTTCGCTGGTTATTGCTTCTGCACTGAATTAAGTGAATTGAGCCTGGTCCATGATCTATGGGCCGGGGCCTGAAATCAGCCCCATAAAATTGCATGGCAAAAAAATTAATTTAATGTTTTTTAATAAAATAATTATCAATTATTACAATTTTTTTAAAAAATACGGATCTATGCATAATGTCACGCTCCTCTTGGACGTCACATGTCACGCCCAAAGAGGGCGTCGCGTCCTGGTGGGTCACGCCCAAACCAGGCGTGACATGTGACGCCCAAAAGGGGCGTCCACCCCCCCCCCCCCCCCCCAACCACCTTATAAAAACTCTACATTTTCTTATTTTTTTCATTTCACTCCCATCCTAACCTCTTTCTAACCAAGTTGTGCTCTCAACCATCCGTGAAATTTTTCGTAGCGAAGCTCTGCCAACTTAGGTAAGTTCCTAATACCTGTTATTTATACGTTTAAATTACAATGCTACGTTACGAATATGTTAGGATTTATCGTATATTAGAGACTTAGAAAATAATGATAGTGACTTAGAAAATTTGTACCATCCTATGAATATTATAATGACTTAGTAATTTTTTTGTTACGTAGCTATTATTATTATAATTTAATTATGCATTGGGGTTTAGCATATATTAGTGATTTAGAAAATAGTGATAGCGACTTCGTAATTTGTGTATCATGTTATGAATGTTGTAGATTATTAAGAACTTTCTAGTGACATAGGTGTTATTATTATTATATAATTATGAAATTATTACTGACTTAGGGTTTAGTATTATGTCATTACGATTTAATTAGTGTTTGAAGTTTAATTATTATTTAATTACAAATAGTTTAGTGTACTATTTATTAATATTATGTCATTAATTACGATTGTAGTAAATACGTAGGGTTTATGCTTAATAATTTTGATAATAAATTAGGGTTTTGCTTAATTAATGTGTACATAAAATTAGATGTGACACGTGATTAATTTCAATGTTGTTTTATGTTATATAGTTTTTTTTATCATGGGTGATTCACCATCATCTGCGGGTTCGACATCCGATTCAGAGCCTGCCGATCCTAGTATGTACATCATACTTGGGCCGTATAGATGGGAGGTCCTGCGGAAGAGGACGCGGAGTGGCCATATTTCACAGCGAGTGTGGAATACGGAACATGTGCGTAAATTAAAGACCAGGCGTGGCAAACCACAGGGGGGGTCCACCTACCGGCGCTATTCCAGAGGTTGTCGTCGACTACCTCACACAGGCTGGATTTATACATGTTGCACGCATGCGACATATCCAGGTATGCAATTTCCGACGTTACAATTGATGTGATTATTCAATATATTGACTTAACATGTGATAATTGTTTAATTTATTTCAGATTGAAGCCCCATTGATTAATGTTTTGGTCGAGAGGTGGAGACCATAGACATATATGTTCCACATGACACAGGGTGAGATGACTATCACCTTGCAGGATGTGGCCGATATCCTGGGATTGCCTACTGACGGGCATGTTGTTACCAGATCTACATCCGAGGACTGGCCCGCTGTTTGTGCTGCTATTTTTGATGCGGAGCCCCTGGCCAGTGAGTTTCATGGACAAGGTGACCTCTGCATCTCATTCTTCGATCGTTTATATACTTGGTGGACTGATGCAGCTAGGGATCATGATCGAGAGATGTGAACTCATTTTTAAATGGAATAAGAAATAAATAAAAAAATACTAAATTAAAGATAAAAATTGTGTATGCAAAATGTAAGAATTGATGGTAGAGAAGAGATGTCAAGAGTGCATAGAGTGGTTGGGAATTATATAGAATTTTTTTATCCATTCATGCCCAAGGGGGCACCAGGGCCACATGTGTCACGCTCAAAATGGGCGTCACATTTTGGGCATCACATTGTGCAGCAGATATGTATTTTTTTTTAAAATGTAATAAATACGTAATTATTTTATTAAAAAACATTAAATTAATTTTTTTTGTCAAAATTGCATTTATAAAATCTCTTTTTTTTTTTTGGTAAAGAAGTTATAAAATATCTTTAAACAGGGGGAAAAAAGAACTTGCAAAATCTCTAGCCCTCTTACCAATTAACAATCTGGATAAATTTGATTGGACAATAATTAAATATTAGGTGTGAAAAAATATATTTAATGATATATTATGATAAAACTAGTTTAATTTTGGATGAATTTTCTGAGGTAATTAAACATGTTTTTCCATTGATAATTACAACATGCTTGAAGTCAAAAGCTACCTTATGAAGTAGGAGAGCCTAAAATTCATATAAATTTCAAGTAAAAGAACTCAAAGTCCATATAAATTTCACATTAGTCACTCATATAATCAACGTGGAACTCAAGTCTTATAATTAGATTGTAACACATTATCAGGGTAATAATACGTGGATCAAACTAGTAAGAAATTTTTTTAAATTAACTATGATCTCGAGATTGAGTTCAACGGAGAATATAGTTGTGTTGAAATATAATAAGACAATCTTTACTGTCTATGTGTTTCTCCTCGACTTGAATCGAACTGTTCAAATAATTGATTAATCGATAGATAATATCGAGAATCAATACTCCACCAACCTTTGGTCAGTTAGCTAATATCTCATGCAAAGGAAGACTCAAATTGAATAAAAGGCAAAGCAGAAAAAATAAATAAATGAAAGCTGATTCCTCCCTCACGTTGGTGATTATTATTCCTGTTAGCTACAGTTTCCGGTAGGAACCAATTATACTTTGAATTATTTAAAGGGTTCAGTGTGTGTCATTCAAAAGGATACAAGTTGTGTCCTTTTAGTGAATTACACAAAATATGACCGGTCATATTCTGTGTAATTCTGAAAAGTTTTTTTTTTCACTTTACACATCAGCGATGTAACTGAAGAATAAAAAAAAAAAAAAACTTTTTAGATTTACACAAATTATGACCGATCATACTTTGTGTAAATTATCTAAAAGAACACAATTTATGTACTTTTGAACGATAGTCTTTTTTTTCCTTATTTAAATTACAAGTATTGGTTATGGATGATTTTCTAACATCAGCGCCAGTGCAATGCCAGACTTTAATGAGAAGTTTTATTATATTTTTTTAATATTTGACGTCTTCATGGATGTTTCATTCAACTTTTTAATATTTTATAAAAAAATATTTAAGAAAACCAATACGGTATTAGGAATCCTTCTTAGGTTTTTATTAACTTATTTTTTTTTTATCTAATTTTAATTCTTTGTTAAACTATTGAATTTTTTACAGGCCAAATTTTGTAAACTACCAACTTTTTCTAATAACCTACCATGTTGCCCTTCTTTATTCTTAGTCATAATCTAAAACACAAAGTTAATTGTTGAAGACGCATCCCTCTGCAACAAAGGGCAAACCAGGCAGAAAAGAAAGCCACAACATCACAATTCATGCGTAAAGAGTCTCATGATACGTTGAAAGAACAGAACTCATCAAATCAAAGGTTGCCCTCTAAAACAAGTAACAACCAACCCAATTTCAGAACTCAATGTCAAGACTACACACTGCAAAACTAGGAGCAAGTAAAGTCCACAAGTCAAGACTACACATTGAAGCGAAATTTTTTTAGGAAAACAAGGATCACAGAAACGTCTCTTCACATCCACTAAATGCACTACACTACAAAAAAACAAAATAAAAGAACCTACTAATTTTGAAAACTTGAAAATTTACTGTGTGAAAACACTTTTTTTTCCCCATTCCCTTTAAACTACATGACAGAACAGGCATTTGGGTTTTCATCACTGAACATATTGGTGTATGGATCTTCATATGTTGTCACGGTTCCAATGGTGACAATGTTGTCCACTCTCCTCACATAACCAGGAGGAGCCTTCTTGTCATAAGCTGGAGCAGCATATGGATGAGCCACCATGTTGTAAGGCACATAAGGCCATATCTCAGCCTTTTTCCCTGTTGACTTGGCCTTCTTTAGGATCTTGTTTGCTTCCACATACCCAGTTACTGTCACTTTCTGCTGTTTCCTGTTTATCTCCACCGATTTTACACCTACATTCACCACCCATTTTTTAATTTCATCACCATCATGTTCAATGCTATATATATATATATATATATATATGGGTGCATATTTTCTTATGTTGTAGGATAGTAGTAGAGAAAAAAAATAGAGATAAGTTAAATGTGGGTCCCACATTTTAAATTAAAAAAGAAAAGAAAAATTAATTGGCACGTAAAACGAATTTGTGTAGGAAAAAGTTCTTATCTCATGTAGATGGAGATAATGATTTCCCTATATATATATATATATATATATATATATATATATATATATATATATATATATATATATGAATAACATCCGTTTATAAATTTTTTTTTGCAAATAACACTAAGTACGACCGGTCGTACACTGCATACCGGTCGTACACTGCATGATTAAAGTGTGACCGGTACTAGTTTGTAAGAGTTTTAAATAAAAAAGTTTGTAAATATAATCCGATCCTATATATATATATAATGACACAAAAAAGAAGAAGGGTAAGAGTGAAACAGAAAGTTATACCATTTAATGAAGAGAGTGCTTTCTTAACCTTAAGCTCACAGCCATCACAGTCCATTCTCACCTTCAGCTCTACATTTTGTAATTGCTTCTTCTTCTTCTTGTGATGGTGGTGGCTACTACCCATTAGATCAGACAAGTACTCAAGAGTGCCTCCAACTCCCATTTTTGTATGTTTTAGAAACAGAACCAAAATGGTTTATACCTACAAAAAAAAAAAAAAAAGACCACTTGGGTATGGATATGAATAGAGGTGCACAATTCAAAGATAGGAAAAAGGTAGCAAAAATGTTTCGATGATGAGTTTATTTATATATACTGAGAAAAGAAGTTGCAAGGAACTTTCTTGCAAAACAGAAAAAAAGATTCCTTCCTTTCTTTCTTCTTACCTTCTAATGATCAATAAACAATGCTGATCTCTGAAGAACTTCTTTACATATCTTGAGATATTTTTACCCTACTCAGGCTTTCTTATAAAGGCATTTCATCAGGTTCAAACAGAGGAATGGGAAGGTCGTGGCCCCCACCAACACTACTAAACAAGAGCCTTTTGGGTACTCTGAAATGGGTTCTAACTTGTTTAAAGAGAAATTTTGAACTTGGGTTTTAAGAAAGTAGACAAGAAGGAAAATGACCCTTTCTCATCTTTCATCTGTGAATAAATAGTAAACTTTTATGGTACTGCTTCCCATGTGGTGATTCAGTTTATATTTGACAATGTTGTTTATTGTTAAAAAAAAGTGGCATATCAAATGACAGCTAATAAAAAACTCTCTGGCTTCAATTCAAATTGAAGGGCAATGATCAATTAAGGAAGGTGAAAGCAGTTTCCCACTCCCAAGTCTGAATGAACAGCAATGTGTATGAGGAAACCCCGAAAAAAATAAAAACTAAAATTTACTTCAAATAAAAGCCAATGCATTTCACGTAACATAAATATAGAGTTTTTGTGAATAGTATAACACTATTTTGGAAAGAGTGTTGTATAGTGACATTTTGATGTCATGATTTTTTCCTGATATTATCTAGCAAGGAATCTTTTTTTTAAAATTAAAAAATAAAGAATAAAAGTATAATTATTTATAATAAAATAAAACAATCAAATTTAAATACGAAGGCTGCAAGGAAAACCACTATTAGATGGTAAATAGTTTTGTTTTGACTCTTTAGTGAATAATTTGAATTTTTTATAATGAATAATTTTGTAAATAATTGTAATAAATAATTTGGTTTTTTTTCTTTTTCTTTCTGATTTCATCTGCCGAATACATTATCATTAATGAATAGTTGGACATTCGTTCAGCACAGCTGTTAATTAAGAAGCTTGAGCAAAATAAATATTTAAATAAAATTTGTTTATAGATATAAAATAAAATCTCCTATGAACTACTATTGGTGGCCTCTTATGTATATGAATTCAAGGGAAGACAAAATCCCTAGTCTTTGACCAACCCGAGTGACTTTCCACTCAAACACGCTTACGCACGTCCAAACATCTAAGGGGTGTTTGTTTCAAGTTTTTGAAGATGATTATCGGTAATCCTTTTTTGGTAAATGTAATTACCATGTTTGGTAGAAGGAATAAATTACGTTTCTCGGATATCTAAGGATTATCGGTAATTTGATTTATAAAGAAAAGTCACTATTCAGATTACCAAAAATAATATGGTAATTCGAAATACCAATTAGAATACCAAGCAAAAGGGAGAGCACTACAATAAATTTTGAGACAAAAATACCCCAATACACATAAAAATCTAGACCCAATCTATCAAAAGTAAAAATAGTTTGGGGTTATTTTTGTAAAATAACCTCATATTCCAAGTCATATTTCGTTCTAAACCAAATATGGAATCAGTAATTTTTACCCAATATTCCCGGTAATATTTTGGCAAACCAAACACCTCTTTCGTAAGATTCCAAGTAAACTCAATTTCTACTGAATTCCCATTAATCATGATTCCCGGTCACCAAAAAATTTCTCCTGTACCAAACACACCCTAAATGTTACTAAAATTACTAGACTCTTATATGGTATTAAGGTGGCCAGTGGTTACATTTACAGCTGTAATTTATTTTATATATATATATATAGAGAGAGGGGTAATATAATTTATATAGACGTTTTAGTACAGCAACGACATGTGTATGGTTATGATTTCTCATATTTAATACTTTAATCTTTTGTATGGTTATATATGGCAAGTATATATATGACAAGTATTTGATTGCTGCATATACAGCAACTGCAGAAATGTAAACTCCATATATATATATATATATATATATATATATATATATATATATATATATAAAAGTTAAAATGTTATAATTTTCTTATGCATGGTAATCAGGGTTCACTAAAAATTTATTTGGCAAAGAAAAAGCAAAAGAAAAATACGTCATTTGTCATAATCCAAATCAGAAGCTACGTAACCTTTTTGTTTTCTTTTCTTTTTCTGAACCTGATTTACTTTACTATATTTTTCTTTTCTTCTTTTGTTTGGAGGGAGAGTTGGGAAGGGGTCACCGTGGTTTCGGTTTATTGGTTTAACCTGATAAAGAAGCCTCCTCCTTCAAAGTTTTTTTTTTCCCTATCTTGTTTCAATTTGGGAACTTTTGATTTGTCAATTATACTTTTTCAGCAAAGCTAACATTTCATTTTCTATTTCTAAGATATTTCTTAAAGGGAACCAAATGAAGCAATTTATAAGTAATTTAAGCAACTAGCTGTGTAACATCCCAAGATCTGGCAAGGGCAGGGAGTGATGATCGCCGGTGTGAAAGGGCACGGACAATGAGCGGCTCATGCCAAATCTTGCAACTTGGGGTTCATGAATGAATCGAATCAACACCCGAAAGAGAGGAATTCCAGAGACTGTGCTGGTATGGGACGATACAGTTAGGAATGGCTTATAAGAATTAATTAGTACTACCTATACTAACCAGATGCATTTACTTTTCGGTAGCCCAGATTGGAAGAACTCCACAGTTAAGCGTGCTTGACTTGGAGCAATTCTGGGATGGAGAAGTTTTCTCGAAAAGTGTGCGAGTGAGGACAAAGCACACTGAAAAGTCTCGTGTTAATGTGTAGGGACAGTCATTGATTCTTGCAAGTAGCCGGACGTTACAAGCTGATTAAGCTTTTTGCAATTAACAGCAACACTACAGAAAGCTCTCAGTCTAACTTTTGGAGAAAAACTAAGTGAAGTGAAAAGGAAAAAGGTAAAAAAAAAAAAAAAAAAAAAAAAACAGAAAAATGCACCAAAAAGTGGGTGAGAGTAGAAAAGAGAAGCATGCATCACGATACCACCCCAAAAATATATGTTTAAGCATTAAAGTCCCTAGTTAAGCAGCTTTTACTTGAGAACATGAATTGTACAAATTACCTCGAGGTCAAGGAAAACAAAAAGTTTAATAAAAATACTCGATTTATATCAGGCTCATGTCATGTCATATTTACACTGAAAAAGAAGATGATAAATTATAATGCTGAGGTGAGATGGAGAATAAAACTTCGAATTGTAGGATAGGAATTAGCAATTAATTGTTTCTTTGTTATAGAAAATTGTTGTGGACATGGACACACATGACAAATTGGATTTCTGTTTTTATGAAGCCCATCCCAGGTTTAAAGGATCGAAAAAGCATTGTAGTATTAATATCTTTCTGTGCTTTTTCTTGCTTTTGGGTTCTAGATTCTCTTTGTTTACTATAAAATGGCCAACTTTAATTAGGAAATCGGGAGGAAAGTTACAAAAAAGGCCTACCACGCCCTCTCTCCTTCTTCTTTTTCCGGTTGAAGTTAGGATTCGCCGTTGAGGTGGGTTTTGTAAGTTGTAACAAGCTCGCTCATAAAGACCTCAAAAGAATTAGAAGGAAAAAGGGTACGGAATGTATTAAGATTTAAGGGTTTTGAACTTGCACTGTTGTGTGTTACTCAATACTACTGGGTTGTTGTTGGGTTTGCTCTTTTACTAAAGTCCAAATGAGTTATTAGTATGAGAAGAGCCCAAGGAACCTAGAGCCCAATGAGCTAGGGTTTCTTGGAACCCAAATAAATAGTACCTCTTAAGTCATCAGCCTCCGAGGTCTTTTTTGTAAGAAAGAGGCAAGCTCAGAATCTAATCAGTGCCCACACACTTCCCCTTCCTCCTCGAGAGATAGTTTGGAAGATCTGCCACAATCCAGCTACAAGGAAGTTGTTCGTGTTGTGGCGCTGAGGTGAGCTGTTCGTGAAGAGGAATCCTACAAGGGAAGATTCTACACGAGATCTGCGCACCGAGAGGTAATTGTGAAACAAGGATGATTCGGTAAGCATACCAATGTACTAGGTCCTAAACCGCTTCCGCATAAATCTAAGATTTCCTACAATTGGTATCAGAGCCTTGGCTGTACATTGGTATGTGAATCTAGTTTCACTATTCATGTAATTAGTTTTGCTTCTTGAAATGTGGCACCTAGGGTTCTAGGATTATGGTATGAATCTAGCATGTGTATTTTATAATTCATTTTCATAAAAATTTAAATTTTAATCGGTAAAAATGCTTTAATCCATGGTTAGGGTCTCTCGTGTATTTCTCGATTTGTAACAAGGAGGCTAATCCCATATGATTAGGTTTCCTCCTTGCTTTTTTTTTTTAATTTTTCGGAATTTTTGTGTATTTTTCAATATTTTGTAAAAATTCAAGATCGAGAAATCGCGAGGAAGATGCGCAGTCAGCACTGTCGGAGACTTTTCGAGGACTTACCGATCTCGGAATGGGGCGATCTATATATGGTTGGAAAGAGGACGGAAAGACGAAAGCAACGGTGGGTGGATCACCGCCATCAGAGACTCCACGCTCCACCACGCGCCTCCACAAGAGGCTAATAGTGGTCGCCACTCTCCGGCAAAGAATGGGAGAGTGAGGGAGCGTCCGGCCACCTTTTTGGGTGGTTCCGGCGGCGGTGCACTCATCTCTATGTGGCAGTCCTTCCCCTGGAGTTTCGGCCTGATTTGACTTCGGGTGACGGCACGGCAGACCTGACGGCTAGGGTTCCTCTTTCGTTTCCTAGGGTTTCTTGCCAAAGGATTGGGTCTTTGGGCTTTGGGCCCATGAAAACCCTAAAGGGGCTTGAGACAGATACTATGGGCTAGGCGAAAGTTGAATTCCAAAGTTGTGA